TCAGTCTTCAATAGTTATACACAATAATAAAATTAGCTGATCTTCTTCCCCCCCCCCCCTTTTTTTTTAAAGCAGGCACTTTCTAAAGAATATTAACATTTAAAACATAAATCACTAAGCTTAAGACTCACGTTTGGTCCAAATGTTAATGTGCTGGGGATGAAGAAAGTGTAAGAGCCTCCAAATCCAAAGTCCTTGCTGTATTCACATGACTGTGACCCGCTCTGCAAGGTGAATGTGGCCCTTCATAAACCATAGGAAAATATTCAACAAACCATTGCTTACATGTGCACCTAAGGCAAACGTAGTAACAAAATGTCTGAAAAGGATGGACAACGACTCTCACCTTCCATTTTTTATCTCGGAGTAGTTTGAATAATGCAACGGTTCAATTTCACCATAATGGCCTGCAGCTGACGAGACTGTCACTGGTGTACTCATTCCATTTATGAATCTAAAATGGGATAAAAATCATGACGAATGTTTGAAGAACAGCTACTACCAAATCTATAAAAGGCTGTTTTAACAATTTAAACAGGACTGATGCTATTGGACCTAAACAAAAATTTACCAGCTGTCACAATTAATATGGTGTTTTTTTTTTGTTTTTTTTTTTTTGTTCAGCAAACTATGAAACTGTTAAAGAATATTAAGAATGACTTGTTAAACATACCGGATTTCATTGTTTCCTTCTTGTGGCTTGTAAATCAGATCAGAAGCCTGAAGAAATTTAGTAATAAATGCTTCTTAATTCAACAATTATACATGGGATGGTGTAACTTTAATTCACAGTACTTTGTGTAAGTCTCTCACCAGTTGCCATTCATCATTGATTGCTGAGGGAATAAGAAGTGTTTGTCGCTGCCCTTTGGTTAGGGAAACACTTTTTGATACTGGAGGATTGCCGATTAAAACCGTAATTTGATCACTTTCAAATTTGAAGTATTCTTCACTGGCCTGCAAAAGAATAAAACAGATGTAACATTTTTTCACTCTGGATAAAATATCACAAGTAGCGTGCAGAAAGTACTGAGTATTAATTTTAATTTAAAGAAAAAAAATTATGTTTTATTTAAATGATACATACCTGAGCTGCTGCAAGATTTAGCTGATTTTCTGGAAACTGAACAGTAATTGGAGTATTTCCCATGTTAAGAAACTTCAACTGACTCTGGGACGCCGATGGGAAGACAGGCAAGGTTTTCTGGATGTCAGGTTAAAGTAGTTAGCTTTTAGCATTTGTTGTGTGTTTTAAGAATTGCATTTGTCCTAGGAAGAGACAAAATGACAACTTGTCCTCAACTTACGTCAATTTGAAGCTGGATCACAGCTGCACAGACGAAAGCAAGAGCTGCTAGAATCATCCCAACAGTCATTTTCTTCAGAGGTCTGTTGAATTGAAATGAAGTTTTAGTATTTATTTGTATAATTTGCACACGTGACAGAAGAAAATGTAAACAATTATCTACAGCTATGCTCTAAAGTCTTCATAGCCCAGGTGGATTTAGATTTATTTATTTTTTTGTTCAACTAAGAACTTTGTTTCTAATAGAAAAACTGTCAAAAGATACAATAAGGTGACAACTGGCAAAAAAAAACTAAATATGCCACCTCACTTACGTAAAGTTCAGACCACACTTTTTAATCAGAGGGTACACCAGGCTTTCCATAATGGGAACCAGAGTCAGAATCAGGATGGGGTTGATTGTCTTTAAGAAACAAATAGCACAATGAGCATTCTGTCCTGCAGAGGGCAGTAAATAAGTTTGTGTCTTCACTGTGCACTTTTTTTTACTAACCTGCATCTGATCGGGCTGTATGACGATTGACCCCTGCAGAGAAAAAAATAAAATAAAAAGATGCAACAACATCAATGCACTGCTATTCAGAACTATGAAACAAGGATGCTACTTCATTCACCAAACTTACAAAATTCCCATCCATTGTGGTGGCTTGTAGTGTCCACCTGGAGCCCTTTAACAGAGGCGTAAAAATTCAGCAACACTTCTGCTTCAAGGACATTGTGCAGTGTTGAGAGGTTATGATTCGAATACATACCTTTTGATCAAAAAGGGTCCAGAACATGGGCAGCGGGATGTACAAGAGGAGAACCCTCAGTGCTATTTTGATTTGAGCAATGAGGAGTTTCTGCAGCAAATTGGAAATGAACAATTACTAGAGAGGAACACCTTGGTGCAATCAAAGAAATCAAAAACGTACGTCATATTTTTCCTCTGCCCAGTCCATCCAGTGCTCCTTCTTTGGATATTTTCTGCTTCTGTGTCTGTACCGGTTTTTAATTGCAAACTGAAATTAGAGAGAAAATGGCTCTTAGAAGTCAGTGGAAGTTATGTGAATATTTAAACAGGCAAACAGACTTACCCCGATGCATTTAGACACCTTGAGCATGATATTCCCCTCTGGTTTAGTTTTGTAGTACATACCACTCCCCATGATAAACACCACTGTTGGAGAATATGCACATTTTCAGGGTGCATTAATCAATTTCGTGGGAAGCACATAGATCCCAAGATTCAATAGTCATACCGAGAGAAACCGCCATCAGGGCTGCAGGCACTCCGAAAGCAAGAGAGTAGCACTTGCTCTTACTGTGAATACCACAATCCTGAGCTGTAAAAGGAAACAAAAAGATATTTGTTAAGATCAAATTTAAAGTTCCTTATAAATTTTTATTGCAACTTTTTGGCCATTAAATGTGTGCAACATGTACCTCTGAGGATGGGAGTTATGATGGTTGACAAAAGACTTCCACCGTTGATGCAGAGATAGAAAACTGAAAAGAACGTTCTTCTTTGCTTGTCCTGGATGAAAACCACAGTAAGTGTTTGTCATTGAGGACCGATATAAAGAACTGTAATTCTATTATTATTATTTGTGAGATTAAAGTCATTTTTTTTCTAAAGCAAAACTGTTTTACTGGTGTTAATATTGAATTTTACTTATTTGTGTCCTCTCCTCACTTTTACCTCTACCATTTCTTTGGTCATTGTTTATCCAAATCAGGTTTCTTTCATCAATAATTTAGTTTGACCTGTAAGCATGATTTGAACTATTTATGTATGAATAGGCTGAAAGGAAGGCTGTGGCTTGCTTTTCCTTCTGTGCCTCTTTAAAACTGATGGTGGACACATTGACAGGTTTTAATTGCTAAGCTGCTCTTCAAACATGACAATTTTGCTTTGACATATGTCAAAATTCCCAACCACAACCCATTGCTAACCAGGTCACAACCAAATGCATGGCTTGTAATTAATCCCACAGCACACAGACATTGATTGACCAGCCTTTTACATCTGTGGGCAGCTGATTGACAGGCAGTGGTATCATGTACAGCCACAGCAACATGTGCTGATCTCAGATACGTTTCCTTGATTAGCCATAAGTAATAATATCCAGTGAAGCAGATTGTTGCTCCTAAAATAGCATATTAGACTAATTTACAGACAGTTTCTTCTGCTGCTGATATCTGTTATTGGCTGTGGCTTTCCTTCTATTTAATGCATAAAGATTAAAGCTGCCAAAACAAGCACACATTATGACTTTATCATTAACAGCTCAACTTTGTTTGCAGGATGACAACAGATAGCAGATAAAGCAGAGTGGAGGAAATCACAAGCAATAAAATATTTGAACTATGGATGTTTGAACTGCCCGTTTAGAGTGGAAGCTGACGATAAAGAGCAAAGCATTTGAAATCTTAGATAGGAGCTGTACACGTGTTTTTTTTTGTTTTTTTTTTCCAACCTGATGATCTCCAAATTGATCTCCACCGAAGGCAGCCACACAAGGTTTGATACCACCAGTACCAAGAGCGATGAGCAGGAGACCCGCCATGGAGAGCACGCTGAATGTGAGGGGAAAGAATGAGCGCATGAGGCGGCTGGTACACGAACAAGAATTTATTCATCCATGTAGAAACATCCCAGATAGCACATGATGTTAAATCAACGTTGAAAAATAGTTAGAA